GTCTCTACGAAAGAGCTGGTAACCCGGAATCGAAACCTCAGCATCCACGATTTCGGCATTAAGCCAAGATTCCGTTATGGCGATGACGTCGGGAATTCGTTCTGATACTATCGCTTTGAGTTCATCGATCTTCGAAACGAGACTTTGTGCATTGGTATACAAAAAATCTCAACTTGGCACGGGTTGATCGATGTAGTTGTGCTGTGCCAGTCCTCGAACGTCTCCCTGACCATTTGATCGCTCCATTGACCCAGGACTTCGGCGTCTTGGAAGGCGAAGGCGTGGCCAAAAGCTGCGCAATGTTCTGCTGCCAACGAGAGCTGATCCATTCTTTCTACCGCTCTTGCGTGCTCGTCCATGCGGGTCTGCAATCTCTTCCCAGTTTCTCCAACGTAGTTTGCCTCGCAGGAACTACACGGGATCCGATAGACGACGTTCGCTGTTTCACTTCGTGGCAGAGGCGTTTTTGATGTCATGATCAGACGTCTAATTGTCGCTTCGGGTTTGTGGGCGATGTCGATACCCAATGGTTGCAAGATACGGGCAACTGCCTCGGAAACGTTCGCAATATATGGCAGCGTTCGCCAGACATTCAGCTGATTTGCTGTTGACTTTAAGGTTGGTCTGGACAGTCTGCTGCGTTCTATAAAGCTGTAGGGGTAACCGTTGGAGGTGAACATCCGCCGTAGATAGTGGAGTTCGGCTACCTTGTCGGTCGGTTCGCTGCACTGAGTGTCAACTCTCTTGTAGAGAGATCGAACACAGCTTCGTGTGTGACACAGCGGGTGATTGCAGTGGTAGGACAGGATGTGGCGAGTGTTAGTGGCCTTCCTGTAGACCGTAGTTTTCAGGCTCCCGTTGACCTTGCGATGGACCAGAACGTCTAGAAACGCGATCTGATTGCTGTTCTTTGTCTCCATGGTGAACTGAATATCGGGAAGAACATAGTTCAGTAGCGCGTGGAAATTCGAGGCCGCCTTTAACCTTCTAGATGATGGCAGACAACTTCGCCTCCATGATAGCGCAACTACCCTCACTGTCAAAGGATTTCCTCCATCCTCGGCTTCTAACCATCTATCTGTCCTTGACCCAAATCCTGACCGTCCATTTCGTAAACTTTTAGCAAAATGTCCTACCCTCAACAAGCCCCATTATTCTGACACTTCATTGCCCCATGATATTGTTCATCAAATAAAAAAGACTGGTCCTCCCGTTTTCTCTCGTCTCCACCGTCTTGCCTCAGCGAGTCTTGCGACAGCTAAAGCTGATTTTGACTACATGCTGCAACTAGGGATTATTCGACAGTCCGACAGTCCCTGGGCATCTCTTTTGCTCATGTCTCCTAAACCACAAATGGACGACTGGCGTCCTTGTGGCGATTATAGAGCCCTAAACAATATCACTATGTCCGATCGGTATCCGGCTCCTTATCTACAGGATTTTGCCGGAGCTATCTGTGGCAAAACCATCTTCTCGAAGATCAATTTGGTCCGGGTTTTTCATCAAATTCTGATTGAGGTTGAGAACATTCCCAAAACGGCAGTGACGAGACTTTTTGGCTTGTTTGAGTTCCTTCGTATGCCATTTGGTCACCGAAATGCCTCACAGACTTTTCAACGTTCCAATGACCATGTTTTACGTGGCCTTCCAATTTGTGTATGCGTATATTGATGATGTTCTCGTCGCCAGTCGAGATGTCGAGGAACATCTGCAACAGTTTACATTGCTTTTCGACCGATTTCAGCAGTTTTTGTCACCCTGAATCCTGCCAAATGTGTCCTAGGAGCCACTTTCTTGAGTTCTTAGGTCACCTGATCGACTCAGCCTGTAGTCAGCCTCTTCCATCAAAGGTTGCTGCCATTTGGGACTTTCACTACCTGCCTCGAAGCGTCAGTTGCAACGGTTCCTTGGTATGGTTAACCTTTATGGCCGGTTTCTCCCGAAGTGTGCCGATACCATCCTACATCTGACCAGTCTCCTCTCAGGTTCTAAGTGCACCTTCGAACGTACACCAGCAGCTCTCACGTCATTTGAACACGTAAAAGCGCTTCTGACTGATGTCACCCTCCTGACTCACTTTCATGCTGATTCACCCATATCTCTGATGGTCGATGCCTACAATGTTGCTGTTGGCGCGGTTCTGCCAGATTCTATCGTCCTTTGGCTTTCTTCTCCAGGAAACTATCCAAGGCCGAAACGCGCTGCAGCACATTTGGACGTGAACTTCTCGCCGCTTATCTTGCCGTAAGGCACTTCCGGCATTTACTTGAAGATCGAGAGTTCCCAATTTTCACAGATCATAAGCCACTCACATTTGCAATATATTCCCATTCTGACAAGCTAAGCCCCCGGGAGATCCGCCACCTGGACAACATTTTGCAGGTCACTTCAGACATCCGCCACATTGACGGGTCACGGAATGAGGTGGCCAACGCACTCTCCAGGCCCTCTATCGCTCACCTTCAGCTATCACCCGGGATTGACCTCATTCAGATGGCCGCTGAATGACGCCGTATCGGTTCACCTTGTGATGAGGATGTTTCTGGACTCCAACTTCAGGAACTACCACTGACAACTGACAACGGCACCATTTTATGTGACGTATTAACCCCTTCCCATCGTCCATATTTGCCACCATCCCTCCGCCGTAAAGCTTTCTTCTCCCTGCACAATCTCTCTCACCCTGGGAGTCGAGCAACCGACAAGCTGGTTTCTGACCGCTTCGTCTGGCCTGGGATGCACAAAGACCTGAAAGCATGGACACGGGCTTCTATCGCCTGTTAACGAAGTAAGATCCAGCGGCACAGCAAGGCCCCCATTGGCACCTTCCCCGACCCTGGTGCAAGGTTCAGCCACGTTCACCTGGACATTGTAGACCGTCTGCCCCTGTCCAATAGTTGTTCCTATCTCCTCACCTGTGTGGATCGGTTCACTCGGTGGCCTGAAATTGCTGCTCCAACGGTGGTCAAGGCTTTTCTCAGTCGTTGAGCTGCTATTTTTTGCGAAATCTCAACAATCACGACTGACCGTTATGCCCAGTTTGAGTCTAACCTTTTCCAGTCTTTCCTCTCCTTTTTAAGCTGTGCCCGCATCCGGACGACAGCCTATCACCCGGCTGCTAACGGGATGGTCGGGCGGTTTCACCGCCGGCTGAAGGCCCCCCTACGCGCCGCGGCCGATCCGGAGAACTGGACGGACCACCTTCCCCTGGTCTTGTTGGCCATTCGCTCCGCTCTCAAGCCGGACCTTGACTGTTCCGCAACTGGACCGGTGTTTGGGAAGAAATGACTGCACAAAGCCTACGTCGACCGCCCTACCGACGACAACAAAACAGCCTTCTTCCCTAGTCAGTGCTTTTTGAGACAGTGGCTGTGGGAGACGTAGAATGCCTGGACGGCTTCCAAGGTCGAGGAGATTCAAGGGTACGCAGACCGCAACTAATGGAAGAACTTCTTCGCCGCAATCAAGGCTATTCACGGTCACGCAACCGAAAGCGCTGCTCTTCTTCTCAGCGCCGACAAAACTACTCTTTGCAATGAGAAGGGGCAAATTCTGCAGCGATCGGCCGGACTCTTCAGAGGCGTCCTCAACCGTCCCTCCACCATAACGGACGCCGCCATCGCCCGTCTGCCTCAGGTGGAGATCAACGCCAACCTCGACCTCCCGCCCTCCGTACTCGAAACCATCAGAGTCGTGCAGCAGCAGCTCTCCAGCGAGATAGCGCCCGGATCAGACGCAATCCCTCCAGCGATCCACAATCCTCCAACTCATGGATCCTCCGATGGCGCTCTTTTAGGAGATGTGGCGTCAGGGATAAGTCCCGCAGTATTCCAAGAATACTACAGTCGTGCACTTTCATAAGCGGAAAGGTAGTCGCCAGCTCGGCGACAACCATCGAGACATCTCCTCGCTAAACATCGCTGGGAAAATATTCGTTTGCATTCTTCTAAACCATCTAAACTACCTGTTGGAACAGGGTCTCATACCGGAAAGACACTGCGTTTTCGCATAATCGCGGAACCACCGACATGATCTTCGCCGCTCGCCAACTTCAGGGGAAGCATCAGGAGACGCGGATCCACCTATACTCTACCTTCGTGAATCTGACGAAAGCCTTCGACACTGTGCATCGCGAAGGACTGTTGGAAATGCAAAAAGTTGGCAGTCTCAAGCGATTCACTCAGATGGTGCTTCAGCTCCACGATGGCATAACGGCACGCGTCACGGACAATAGAGTCGTCTCAGAGGCATTCTCTGTGACCAACAGAGAGAAACAGGGTTGGGTCTTCGCGCCTAGTGAACGCCTAGTGTGACAAACGCCCACTGTTTTTTTTCCGTCCACCACCACCACCTCGCACCCTACGTTGACAATCAACACTGACCGCACTCCCGAACCCTCACTACCATCCTCGCTCCCCTCCCCCTCATCCTGCTCCTTTCCCTTCTTCCTCCTCTCATTATTGTATTCCTCACCCCGGAAGTGTTAGATATCATGCGAAAGTTTTATCCGAAATCAACGGTATACCAAAGGCTGAGTATTTTGAGATTTCTTTGTGCACATAAAAATTCGTACAGCTGAGAGAATTGGCTGTTGTGTGCCAGTTCCATCGGGCTCATCAATTGTTCGGCTATCCCATGAGGCACACCTCCGGCATCTGGGACAGGAAGGTTCGCCATAGTTAGGCCGGCGGCGTTAAGTCCAAACCAGAGCCGAAAGTGTATCTAAGGACGAGGTGGCGAGCATACGCAGTTTTCGATAAACTCTCCTCGGGCCAATGGGAAATTGTATCTCGCCAATCTGAGCCCATACAGCTCGACCTGACACAGGGCGTCCTGCATGCAATCTTCTTTTCAGGCGGCTCCAATACGCTTCATCTGCATTGGTATGTCGGTCTGTGGTTGAGTCCACAAAAGTCATACTATGGCTTGCGATATACTGTCTATATCCCTCGACTGTAGGCGTGAGTAGGCTTTACATTCTTCCGTCACGATCCGTCTTTTGCAACCCACATTGTCATTATCGCCCTGAGGACTTGCCACGTTCTGTTGTTCACTTGCTCGACTGCTCGCTTCTTTTGCTTCGTGTCGTACATTCCGAGTAGCTGTAATTGCCTCTTTTGCCTGTCGACGTTGTATTTTCGACGGCACAGTCTGTACTTTTACTTGTCATTGCCGCATTCAGGCTCCTCCTATGAATGAAAGGCAGACCTTTTAAGCCCTCTTAATTATTAGGCGGCTGTCTTCAAATATTGAACCTGCTCGCAAATCCTTGGTGTTTCCGTCAGCATATTTCCTGAGAATTTGCTGCCGCATTGTCCTATGACATTTACATTTCCGACTTTTGGGCAGCAGTGGTTCGTCTTGGCAATATTGCACCGCCTCAACGGAGTTCAGTTTTTCCGCTTTCTCCTCAACTTCCGTCCTACGGTTTGTTCAAGCGGCGGTCTGCGTTTAAAAATGGAATTAGTTTACGGCTTATCTCTATTTGAAACTATTGCAAATACCCTCCACTTACAGGTACTGACGCCTATATCCACATGGACAGACTGCCATTTTGTGTTTCAATATGCAGGTTGGTAAGTTGTTTTCATGCCGAAACCTTCGTTATTTACCATAACTTATTTCTATTATGTATGCCTCTTTACATCACTAGGCTTGTTTTTTGTATCTATTCTTTTTACTGTCCCTTAGCTTACCATGTTGTACTTCCTTTTTGTTCCTCGTTTTTAAAGCAGGTATAGACAGCAGAATTTATTGGAAACAATAGATTTCGCGACGGCTTATCAATTGCAGCCTGTCGTTGCATAACACAAAAAACAAGTGAGAAAGGTACAGAGGTTTGAACTTCCGTAGAGAAAATTAATGTAAAACAGCAAGGTCATCGTACACTGCACGTAAAGTAATCAATAAAATGGTGACTTGGAAAACGCAACATAGGAAAGAAAACGGGGAGGTCAACACTCCAAATGGATTTCGCAAATCAGAAGGGCGCAGATCTACCAGGGCAAGCTGATGTTGACCACATGGTCTAACTGTTTACATAGGTCGGGTTTCCCCGCCATATGTAGGCTGCCTCCAAATAGCGCAGTAACCGAGTTGTTCGTGCTCGAACTAATGCTCGAAAAGGTTTTCAAGTCAACCGAACGACCGCTATCAAGGAGGTGCTTTGTAATAGAAGACCGTGGAATTTTATTCTCCTGCTTTAGTGGCCATGTAGGCAGGTGCTCAACTGACCTGGCTGTCAATTGCCTTTGCGATCGCCCAATGTACTTGCATCCACAAGTGCATGTTAATTCGTAAACATAATTTGACGTGGCTTGCAAAGGTAAGGCATCCTTCGACCGTGGAGTTTGGATAGCCTTGGTGGGGGTGCAGAATATGAGTTCAGCTAAGTTGTATGTTCTTTCAATGGCGCATCGCAATCGCCACTTGATGGTATTTGAGGTGTTTTCACCCTTAAAGGGTAAAGATATTACAATGGGCTTTTTCGGAACTGATTGCCCTGTCGATTTTGGCCGTAAAGTGTTGCTTTACTTTTCGATGAACCGTGTTGCATATCCCCGTTTAAGCAGGGCTGTTTTGAGGCAAGAAATTTCAGCGCTAAGTGGTCCCTGCACCTTGTACGAAGTCAGTTACTCACACCAGCCTTCGACGAGGGAAGAGGTGAGCCCTCAGGACAGGACAGGACAGAAGACCAGCTCAAAGGTACGTTAGCTTTTTGCAGTCACTACTCCCGAAAACATCTTCAAGCAGGTTGATTGAGGTTCCCAATTGTCGTAGGTAGCAGTAACACCTGTCCGCACTTTGGTGAAATTACATTCGTGCCTAACTGAAAAGATCGTATTCCGGCACTTGCATTCCTATCGAAATCAAGAGAAATATGCAAACTGAAAGACAGTTTTCATATTTAATGGTATTGAATTCATGCAGAAGGTCTACAGACATTTGACTCGCGTATAATTCAGGAATGTAAGCAGGTACACTAGACACAGTACTGCTGGAATTGCTGAGGGTGTTAAGCATATAAAAGGGCGACGGTAGGCTGAAGGAACTCAATTAGTTGTCATATACAAAACTAGCCACTATGTTCGTTTAAGTACTAAACCGACCAGGTATTTTAAAATAAAAGCTTAAAGTATTTCCTTTTACCATAAAGATGCTGAAGAATTCGTCAACTTGGAACCTGGGACAAATTCAGTTGGCTTTACTTTGCTTAACTGAGAGAGACTGTGGTCATCCTTTGTAAATGGGATGATTGTAAAAAAAATTGGTATGCGCTTAAAAAACTTAATCATTCTCATGGGAACACGTTCGTCCCTTTAATGCGTTGGTGCAGGCGGTAATGGCTAACAGGCCGCATGACCCCGTGCTTACCTCTTTCCTCAGATCCGAACTGCCATGCCGAGGCGTTTCGCCCTAAGCCGGCTCCCCGAACGCGGAGACGACAGAGACCTCCCTCACGGACGAGAACTCAGGGTACACCAGGCCCTCCAGCTTACTCTCCGACTTGTCCACAGACTGTGCTTCAAACGTGGGTCGTTTGCTTAAGCATTTGTTCGTCTCCATTTTGAAGAAATCCGTGGGCAATCACGACGAAAGCTCTCAGACTCCTTTGACCCCTCCTAACACCGCCAACAACGGCCCGCCCCGAGGTGCGGCCAAGGTCACATTTCGGGAAGAGATGGGGTTGTCTTGTTTCCACTGGCGGTTTCGCCTGCCGACAAGTAAGCAGATACCAATATGAAGTACCAAGAAAAAATGGAAGATTTGTAAGAAGAAGATAATTTAAAGTAGGCTTTCACTACATATTTCTAAGTTATTAGCAGCACTCATTCGAAGACTGCCCTCGCAGAAATTGAAGACTCCTGGCTTTTGTATTAGAGCACGCACTCTGTAGTTGTGTGCCTGCTCGAACTAACTGGTTCAGCCAGCTGCAGTTATAAGTATAATCTGATTTATTCCGAGACTTTGGACGAGCTCCAGAAAATGTCGGCTCCATTTTCAGATATCACCTACAGTATAGGTGTGGATAATCAAAAGACTTGATCCAACAGAATCCACGGTAGGATTAAACGTCAGCGTGTCGAGTGGTTGGAGGAGCGGGCATGGTCTTGGCAAAATATTCTGTGGGATATTACACCAAATTTGCCCCCTTTCTACAAGCTTCGTACAGCTTCTCTCATTCTGGGCTAATTTTGACAGATTCTGGACACGTTGACTTTGGGAGGTATTTTGAATTCTAGTTATTTGTTCACCCTGGCACTTTCAATTAACTGGCGAAGGCAAATTCGACCGTGGTTTGACCTGCAAGTAAACATCAACTGACACTTACTTCCTTTCCAAGTATAGCCTCATCCAAAACGAATAAACCGTGAACAAAACGCGCAGACGAAATGCGTCAGATGGCCGAATCCCTGGCAGAAAGTTTACCAAAGACGGAGGAATGGGATATTAACAGACGGTTGACTGCAGAATACGTGAACACTTGTAAGAGTTTATCAGTTTGTCAGGAGGATACTTTTTCCGTTTACGCAGTTCAGTAGTCTCAACCGAAACACTTTTGCAAGGGATGTCCTTCCTCCACGGGGACGCTTCGTTCTGAGGCGAGGACGACCGGGTAGTCCGACAGTGGGGGCAGCGATGTTGGCAACATCAAGGCCGGCAGTTCTTAAATGTCCGACTGGCATAATGACCTCGTGTTTAAGAATTTCCGTATTATGCCTTCCGATAACAAGCCGTTTTCAGCACTACTATCGAGCTGGTGTTAAACCTTCTATTTTGTAGTCGAATCGCCCGCAAAGAAACACGGTTTTAGATTTATTTCAATGTGAATTCAGATCCACGACAAAGGCCCTATATCT